GGAAATTAAAGTCTAGGCCACCATTCTCATACGAATTCATAATTACAGTTTTTTTATTATAATGAGTTCGATTTTTCTATAAAGATCAAATAGCATTTTTATCTATATCTTTATTAGTGTGGTTATCAAAATATAACGCTAAAGAGGGATATGTCAGTCTGGCTATACCTTTAGCCTTTGTAAGAAGAGCTCTCCCCTTAAGAGAGAGGTCTCTCTGAAGCCAAAAATTAAACTTTTTTTTTGTTTTATCAATTAATGGGTTTAAATTAAGAGGACATCTTTTCAATTGGTCTTCAACAATAATAATTTCAAAGTATTTAACCCTATCTTTTATAGGAATGTTACATATTATATATTATACATATTATTAACATCACATTCTTTAACAGCCATCAATTCATATTTATTAATATTTAAGTACAGACCAGGGGCCTCATGTACGAAGACTTGCGTGGAAATCTTACTAAAACATTGCGTACGCACAAAGCTGTAAATGTGCGTACGCAGAAAAAAATTCAGATGTATGAAACACTGCGTACGCCGAATCTCACGCATATTCTTTTGTACATCCGAATGAACATAAAACTGAGCGCAACATGCACGAGCACAAAACCCCTCCCTAACTCCTCCCCCGTATGAATATGCTAATGACTATGCTAATGGCAAAACCCAACGAAAAAGCAAAGGCAAAAGCTAGCAAAAAGAGAAACTTTGAACAGAATGTGAATTGGAGGTGCTGCTTTCGGAGGTAGACCGGAGAAAAGCGGTGTTATTTGCAAGTTTGTTCTCCAGAATTAACAACAAAAGAAAAAATAGAGTGGGAGAGTTTAGCTGATGCGGTTAACACAGTTGGGTCTGAACATCGCACTGAGTCCATTAAAAAAAAGAAATAGTGTGGTTTATATCTGTAAAATGTTTCAGTATCCTTAACAGTCTCAGTGGCGCACCTCGTAAGACGCATGTGATCATGTATTGACACGTTCGAACATGAACTCGGCTCGAATCCAGCGTCTGATGAACTCTTTCTTCTTTTTTTCCCCGCTACATATCAGATTTTGCCCACTATTTATCACAAGAAAGACAAGTAGGAATCATCAATAAGTTTGTGCATCATATTTTATTTGCACATTTATTGAATGGAAATGTTTCTGATTGACGCATGCAAATTCATCTTCAGATAGTGTGTTTATAGCAATGTGCGTGCAGTAGATAGCTCAGATTACATTGGGGAAAACAGGCGACCGCTGCAAATTGTGCTTTAATGTTTAGCTGGTCAACTGTATGGTATGGAAACCTTATATACCTGCTAGATGAACCCGTCTTATACAGTTGCCATTGAAAGGCTCAGACACTTTGTAGAGAGGAATTTAACACAACTGCCTCTAGGAGTCGCCAATGGAAATAAAACAGACACGCACATAAAATATGCGTACGCCAGCCAGAAAGCTGCCGTGAAGCTGCGCACATTCCCACGTTCAGTTCATTGTTAGTAAATCCAAACGTGAGCGATAGTCACTATTTTTCAAACAGAGGGCTGTGTCATCAGCTAACTGACTTAAAATATCTTCTCTATTCGCAATTGAGATACCATTAAGGGTACTTTTTTAATATTTAGAGATAATAATTGAGTAACAAGTAGAAAAAGATAATGGGAGATGGGACAACCCTGTCTAATACCTCTTTTTAATTAAAATCTAGAAGTAGTTCCATATTTAAGTTTAATTGAACTATTGGCATTTTTATGGAATAAGGGTAATTAACCCTCAAGTCATAGTAGCTGGAAGAATAGAATTAGATAAACTTTCAGAAAATACCAGAAGAAGAAAAGGGGCTAAATGCTCAGCAAATAGTTTATAAAACTCTGATGTCAAACCGTCAGTACCTGGGCATTTATAGTTTTTTAAATTATGAATCGAGTTGATCACTTCTTCTAATTTAATATGTTCGTCACACATAAAGTTATCCGTACACTGAAAAAGTGTTGAATGCAGAACTTTTGCAAAAATGTATTTGTGTTGAATTTAATCAAACAAATTAAGTTTAATAATGTTCAACTCAATTTGTTTGTTTAAATTCAGCCCAAATAAATTGTTTACAACCACTTAATGTAAAAAAAAAAATTTGAGAAAATCCAAGGAATCATTTTTGAATAATTTTTTTTAGTGTACTGTCTATTTTTTTTCAATCTCACCCACTGAATTTAGAAAATCGTTAGAGGGTTTATCATCAAATTGTGATATATACAGGTTACTATAATAGGCAGAGCAGTACTTTGAAATCTCTTTAGGATCATCTGATATTTTCCCATAAATTTCTAATTGATGAATAGTATTCAATGTGGCTTGATTTTTTTCTAGTCTAAAACCTGATTGTTTTATTATGTAATTGGCAGAATACAATTTAGCCTGCCGAATAAAATGTTAAGTTTTGATTCATTCTGAATTCTCCCGAAATCTTTTATATCCAGTAGATTAAATGGAGTCTTACGCTACCTTTATGATTTAACAAGGTTAGATTTTGATTTTAAGGCACATTTGACTGTACAGAGACGTTTTGGGCATGTCATCATGGAGATGACATAGAGATGACTTTCAATCATCTAATCGCTGATTCTAGCAAGTTGCATGGGCTTGGCTATTTCTTGCTATTCGTTTAGGAATGTGTGAGCATTTGGCAACCGGCCTATTTGAATATTAGTTAATCCTGCAACCTCTGACTAATTTTAGAGTGTTTGCATACTGTCCGTTAGAAGATGCGCAAACCCGGGGCGTGGAACTCTGAGCGGTGTTTGGTCCCTAATGAACGTATAACCGAAGAGTAAGAGAACAGATATAAAGTAAACTCTACATTAAGTCATAAATGATGAATGTGATCCGTTCTACAATTAAAAATGCAGTCTACATTTTAGGATCACTTAAATTGGAGTCAGATTAAATTCGGAGCTAAAAAACGAATATAAATAAATTATAATAAATAACAAAATTCTTTTGAGAAGCACTAGAAAAGGTTTACATGCATTTAACCTTTGACCATGCTGTTAGTTTCGTCATTGGGCTAATAGTTGGACTTATACAGTGCCGTATCTAAACAGAGGTTGGCCCAGCGAACAGTGGATGCCATTTCCCTCGCCATCAGAGCCAGGGTGAGCCATGTTCCCCAGGAGCGGGCTGCACTCCATTTGGAGGGCGCATCCTCTTGGGTGTTAGCACGTGGCACCTCTCTAACAGACATTGTAGAGCTGCGGGCTGGGCGACACCTAATACATTTGCGAGATTTTTAATCCTCAAGTGGAGCCGATTTCCTTATGTGTGCTAGGAAACCCCGGTGACTAAGAAAAGTCAGTTAGGTGTAGTAAAACGCTTGCTACTCCTTTCTCTCTAACACACAAGACGTGTGCTTTCTCGCTTTGCCAATTGAGTTCCCCACTTGGCAAACCCTGCTGATTTCCACCGAGGCCCCCAGCATCTGACTCAGTTGAGGAGTCAGGTGCTTGACCCATTATGTTGTTGGCCTGCTGGTCGGCCTGCGTTCTGGGTATAGGTGCCTGGTATGCGTGATCCCCACTGGCGATCCCATATGCTCACTCAATCACGATGAAGTCCCCCCTCTTAGGCGGATTTGTGTCTTCCTTCACCGCTAACCATCTTCTCACATTAATACTCCCTCTTCTCAGGGCTAGTTCATGTGCCTTTTTGCCACCAGGTCTCCCCATTCGGATGCCTCCACAGCATCCTCACTATTGGGACTGCATGCTAGGTGTATTTTTATGACTCTTAAAAATATATCTAAATCAGAAACATGTTAAGCAAGAGCCAGGGGACATGTTGGAAGGCCCATAGATTTCCCCATAGTGGAAGTTTTCCACATAAAATTGAAGTTTCCCTCCCAATGGGGAACGAAGCGGTTACTAAAGTAACCCTCGTTCCCCAAGGGGGGGAAATGGAAATGCAATGTTTGGATTGCCCCTTAGCTGTTAGACGTAAAAGGCTCTTTCAGCTAGAAAATGATGTCTTGGCGTGGCACGAGCTGCGTCTTTATACAAGATTAATTGTAAATGATGGCAGCTGTGCACGCTGATGCCGCCAACTCATCGGCATTTCATTTTCCTGTTTTTATACTCTTTCGAAATCCCCATAGTGGTTTTCCAGAAAGCATACCCAAAGCATTCAGTTTCATGCATGGACCAACTTCTTTAGACCTTTAGAGTTTGCATGTTGTCCCTGCGTTCACATGGGTGTCCTTCGGTTTCCCCCACAGTCCAAAGACAAGCGGTACAGGTGAATTGGGTAGCCTAAATTGTCCGTAGTGTATGAGTGTGAATGAGTGTGTGTGAATGTTTCCCAGAGATGGGTTGTGGCTGGAAGGGCATCCGCTGCATAAAAAAAAAACTGCTGGATAAGTTGGCGGTTCATACCACTGTGGTGACCCCGGATTAATAAAGGGACTAAGCCAAAAAGAAAATTAATGAATTAATGAATTTCCCATGTGCTGTTTAACAGAGCAACAACATTTTTAACAGTATGCCATAATTTTTAATTTTATATTTTTTCTTCTAGATTTTTTTATTCATTTGGCTGCAGAACAAACCAATGTTGTCCAACGACTTGCCTAATTAACCTAATTTGCCTAGTTAACCTAATTAAACAAGTTAAGTTTTTAAATAGAACTTTAAGTATAGAATACTAATATCCTGAAAAAATAACTAGTAAAATATGTACTGTCATCATGGCAAAGACAATTATTTTCAAAAATTTGTTGAAAAATAAGTTCTGTTGTCTCTGCACTTGGCAAAAAAAATTTATTTTAAAAATAATCAATTTCTGAAATCCCTAAAAGCTTCTGTAATATTGTAATAAAAGGGAAAAAAGACCCTTGCAAAATCAAAAGCACATTTTTGTTTTGGAGTAAAGTAAGCTATTCCTTTAAAATAAGTTCTCCTTCATAGTGGGTGCAAATTAACCATTTGTTCGCTAATTAGACATCACTAATGCAGATGTTACCAGCACAGAAGTTGCGGGTTGGGAAGGACCTGCTCCAGCCGGCTGTACTGGCTTATGGTAAAAGTAAGTACTGGTGGACTGGGATGGCTGGAGAAGTGTCTGGTGATCCCTGCTGGAAAAGACAGCACCATCTCACCAGTGATCTTCACCAAACACCTACAACACACAGCAAGACACAAGAGAAGAATAAGGACAGCTTCATTCAATTTAGGTAAAATGTCTTTAGAACTTTAAAATGTGTTCTTACTTAGTGGGATCTGCTCCTTTAAAGTAGGTGCTGATGGTCTCTGTGAAAGCGGCTGCTACTGGTAGTGTGTCCTGGGGTCCCATTGTGAGAGGACTTGGACCTCTGGAACACGCTGAATACAGAAAGCGATTGAATTGTAAGGTTTAAGAGTCATAGCATTCTGGACTTAAGGTATTGTGGCATATTATTATTACCATCACACAACATAATCTGCAAAACTGACTTGGGACAGCTCTGTGGCCCACCTGACACAGAAAGGTTGAGTTCTCTGCCTAGTGTAGGAGTGGAGGCTGCGCTCAGGGAAGTGACAGAGGATATAGAGGATGTGCTCTCAGCTCTTGCCAGAGGAGCAAATGGAGGAGGACTCCAGGAGTGGATGGGGGGGCTGAATGGACGGGCCTGAGGAGAAATGAAACTGTAAAATTATGATGTCTAGTTCAGACTGTCATTCAAGTTCACCCTCCAGTGCTGTTGTTTGTTTATAGTCTGCTGGATCTGGATTTACATGGGTACAATGCATTTACTTACAGCAGATATTTATGCGAACCATGTATTCCTACCAAATTTACTTCAGTATTGTGATGTACGTCCAATGTAAGGAATGCTATTAGAGGGCAGAGTTTTACTGTAGTGCTCTTCCTTTTCATCTCTCAGTTGCACTAAAATAGTGTTAGTTGATGTTAGTGTAAACATAAGAGTTTATTTTTCTATCATTGTTGACGGTTTTGTTTTGAGCATTCATAGGTTATAAATTCAAAAGAATTTTGGTTTCTCTTACAGGGTTCCTTTTTCAACTTTTCCAGCACCTGACAACCACTGTAAATTACGTTTTTATATGATGTATGTACTTTTTCAGATTTAAATCCATTGTGCTATTTAAAAAAAAAACAATAAAAAAAAAACAATATAACATTTCAATTTAAATTGTAACATTTACACATTTACAATTTACACAATTGTAACTTTGAAGCATAGATTTATTGGGATAGTTAACCCAAAAAAGGTATATATATATATATATATATATATATATATATATATATATATATATATATATATATATATATAAATCCTGAAAATTATTAGAATAATTAGCAAATTATTTATGTATTACAATTTACATATGCTTATAAACATTACATTCCAAAATAGATTAAATTCATTCCATAATGACAATGTGAAAAAATTTTATTTTAAATTGTTGCAAATTTATAATAAAGAAAAGAAAAGAAAAAAGAAAAATCACATGTGCATAAGTATTGACAGCCTTTGCCATGCAGCTCTAAATTGAGATCAGGTAGATTCTGTTTCCACTAATCATTCTTGAGATGTTTCAGCAGCTTAATTGGAGTTCACCTGTTGCAATTTTAGATGATTGGACATGATTTGAAAAGGCATACACCTGTCTATATAAGGTCCAAGGGTTGATGTGCATGTCAAAGAACAAAAGAAGCATGAAGACAAAAGCAATTGTTTATAGACCTCTGAGACAGGATTGTCTCGAGGCACAAGGCTGGAGATGGATACAAAAATATTCTGCTGCTCTGAACGTTAAAATGAGCACAGTGGCCTTCATCATCCGTAAGTTAAAAATGTTTGAAACCACAAGGACTCTTCCTAGAGCTGGCTGGCCATTTAAGCTGAGTTATCAGAGGAGAAGGGCCTTAGTCAGGGAGGTGATCAATAACCTGATGGTCACTCTGTAGGAGCTCCAGCGTTCTTCTGTAGAGAGAGAAGAACCTTATAAAAGGACAACCATCCATGCAGCAATCCGCCAATCAGGCCTGTATGGTAGAGTGGCCAGACAGAAGCCACTACCATTCTAGAATTTGCCAGAAGGCATTTGAAAGGCTTTTCAGACCAAAACAAAATTCTCTGGTCTGATGAGACTAAAATTGAACTCTTTGGAGTGAATGCCAGGTGTTATGTTCGGAGAAAAACAGGCACTGCTTAACACCAGGCTAATCTGCTTGTTAAGTAGTGACGTGTTTGTGACGTATGTAATACTGTTTCTGGGTCCAAGCCTCCTTTCATTTTAGTGGAGAAAGTAAAAAATTTCATTTTGAAAACGAAATGCATTGATTTTATTTTTTTGCTGTTTGAAACAACTAACACTCATTTGGGGGACGGTGGGTATCTAGCACATCAAAGTCAGTTGGTGGGTCACCAGTGGCACCGTTTATACATCTGTGGGAACCTAAGTGCGCTCACCAAGGGCGTTGATTAGACCCAGGGGGAGAGCCCACCAAGCCATGCCCGGGTAGAGACCACTCTCCCGGCATGTCCCGCGCCTGGAGGTGCTAGAGTGACTCCGGGTTTCGCTGACCTGCCGTTGAGGTTTTAGTGAAGGCGAAAAAAACGACACTTCGGCAATTTTGGCTTTAGCGGTTGAAGGAACCAGGGGTCTAAGAGCAGGCCTGTTGCCCCAGAAGGCACGTCCGAACCCTGGCAAGGCCGCTGCGCTGAACCCCATGGGAGTCAGGGGTCCCATGGCCGAGCTGTCAACCCGCGAGAGAGCGTCCGTTTCCCCGCAGGCTAGCACGCGCGTGCCCCGGGGAGGCAGGGGGACGCAGCTGAGCTGTCAACCCGCGCCAAGGCGTCCGTTTCCCCGCAGGCCACTGCACGCGCATCCCGGAGGAGCAGGGGGACGCGGCCGAGCTGTCAACCCGCGAGAGAGTGTTTGTTTCCCCGCAGGCCAGCGCGCGCACGCGCCCCAGGGAGGCAGAGGGACGCAGCTGAGCTGTCAACCTGCGCCAAGGCATCCGTTTCCCCACAGGCCACCGCGCGTGCATCCTAGAGGAGCAGGAGGACGCAGCCGAGCTGTCAACCCACGGTGGAGCATCAGTTTCCCCGCAGGTCAGCGCGCGCGGCCCAGGGAGGCAGGGAGACGCAGCCAAGCTGTCAACCTGCGAGAGAGCGTCTGTCTCCCCGCAGCAAACTCGAGATTTTCTTATGCCCTGAGGCTGGAACTACATGCCGCTGGTGCCCCATCCACGACCCAAAGGCCGGTGGTGCCCCATTCACAAACCCAGACCATTTGGGCCACCAGCGGTACATCTTGGCCAGTTGGGTCACCAGCAGCACGTCTGTCTTGCCCGTGCGGTTTGGAGAAGTTAGTGTCCCCGGGCTTAATAGTGGGGTGCCCGGGCACTGATCAGGTGCCAATCTAGAGGGTCCTTTGGGACAGGCGCTTGCCCCTGGAGAGTGGGGGGTCCTCGGGCAGAGCGCGCATGACACAAGGCCCCCAGAGGTCAGTGGCTCCAGGCCCAGAGTGGAGCTTGGCTTGCCCCGGAGCGCGGGGGCTCCCTGGGGGTACAGCATGTGACACAAGGCCCCTGGAGGTCAGTGGCTTCAGGTCCAGAGTGGAGCTTGGCTTGCCCCGGAGCGTGGGGGCTTCTAGGGGATACAGCGCGTGACACAAGGCCCCCGGAGGTCAGTGGCTCCAGGCCCAGAGTGGAGCTTGGCTTGCCCCGGAGCGCGGGGGCTCCCCAGTGATACAGCGCGTGACACAAGTCCCCCGGAGGTCAGTGGCTCCATCAGTGGTTTACCAGCGGCACCGTTAACGCATCTGCGGGAACCTAAGTGCGCTCACCGGGGGCGTTGATTAGACCCAGGGGAGAGCCCACCAAGCCATGCCTGACAGGAGACCACCCTTCCCGGCCTACTTGTCGGTACGTCCCACCTGCCTATCCGGGTCACCAGCAGTTCTTGGTTAAACCAGCCACGCCTGTCTGCTGCCCCCGGGGCAGACAGACAGACGTGGCTGGCTGAACCAAGAGCTGCTGGTGCCCCGGAGAATAAGTCACCAGCAGCCAAGAGCTGTTGGTGACCCAGAGAGGAAATTAAACCGTTGGTGGTCTAATTTGTCTAACCTCACTGCCTTCATCAGATAGCCTCGAGTCCTACCCAAACACTAGGCAACAGTGGCGCTTTTATGGCTTTCTGACTGGTTACCTAACCTCCATCTCTAGGCACCGCTGTGGAGTCTTCCAGAATCTGACAATCCAGGAGGTTGAAGAGGCCCCCAGAAGCCCAGACGAGTCTGCTTATGTCATTAACGTGAGTATGGCGCAAGTAAGGTGGGGGTCACCAGTAGCATGCTCTCACTCACTTCTTCTCTCTGCTTGTTCTCTGATGCCAGATCACCCTGCATAAGACAAACAGAGCCTTTGGGGCGGCGCAGTTGTCTCTAAACAGGGAGGAATACAGCTGGTTCCGCAGGTTCTTGGCGCTGCAGGCTGGTCTCCCCGGAGGGAGCCAGGCTACCTATTTCTTTTTCACTTTCAGAGCCAGTCCTTGTCGGACCCTGAACAAATACTTTCAGTCTGCGTGAATCAGTATGGGCCTTCCAGGCAAACCCACCTTTATTGACGTACGGACTGCCATCGCGACTCATGTGAGTAACTACCACTGGCGGCTTCAATCCTAAACAAGCTTCTGCCTGTCTGTCTCTCTCCGACGCAGGCAAAGAATGCACACTCTTCAGAGGATCGCTGCAAGGTGGCGCAATTCATGTGCCATGACACTTCAACCTCAGATAAGTTCTGCGCACTTTACCTCGGACCTCTCCAAGCACGCGAGCGCCGCAGACTATTTGAAAGGGCCCTGGTGGAGGAGGAGGATGGGGAGGCAGCGGGCACAGAAAGCCCCCCGCGGAAAAGACGCAAGAGGACAGAGACTCCCGTGTCTCCCCTGGTAAATCAGTTTCTCTTTGGCATGTAAAGCAGAACGTGTGGCATTGGCTAACTGGCCTTTATGTGTCTCTTTTCCAGCAGAGAACCAGCAGGAGAACGCTGCCAGGGCGGCCAGCCAAGGGGAAAAGCCAGGGGGCTCGCCCACTCAAACCAACAGACCAACAGAAGACTCTGAATCGTCCTGAATAAATATTGTACAACTTAACGGTCATATGGTGTTCAGTGTTTCATTATTCCTCTATTTGTGTGGTAAAAGTAGATTCAGTAGGGACAAATGAGCCCTGTCTCCTTAGTTCAAAGCTGGACGCCTGCTGCGTCCAGGTTTCGCCTTGGCTACGTTCCGATTGGGACAAATTATCCCTGTCTTGTGTGTTAAAAGTGTTACGTGGGATGCCCTCGTCCAGGTTCAGCCTTGGCTATGGGCCAGTTTGGACAAATTATCCCTGTCTTGTGTGTTTAAAGTGTCTCGCGGGACGCCCCTGTCCAGGTTCAGCCTTGGTTGATAGCTCATAGGGAGAAATCCTCCCTTTTGCAGCACAAGGAGGTGCTGGGCTGGATGACTCTGTCCAGGTCTGCAACTGCTTTGAATGCCCAGATGGCCTAGGGTCCAACTCTGGTTATTAGCAAGCTTCTCCCGGGACAGCTCGGTCTTTTGAGCTGCATGAAGAGGTCAGGACAGGGCTGCTGTGGAGTGGAGGTTAACTT